CAGCAGCAGCAGCGCAGCAGCAGCAGCAGCACAGCAGCAGCAGCAGCAGCAGCAGCAGCAGCAGCACAGCAGCAGCAGCACAGCAGCAGCAGCAGCAGCAGCAGCAGCAGCACAGCAGCAGCAGCAGCAGCAGCAGCAGCAGCAGCAGCAGCAGCAGCAGCAGCAGCAGCAGCAGCAGCAGCAGCAGCAGCAGCAGCAGCACAGCAGCAGCAGCAGCAGCATCAGCAGCAGCAGCATCAGCAGCACAGCAGCAGCAGCAGCAGCAGCAGCAGCAGCAGCAGCAGCAGCAGCAGCAGCAGCAGCAGCAGCACAGCAGCAGCAGCAGCAGCAGCAGCAGCAGCAGCACAGCAGCAGCAGCAGCAGCACAGCAGCAGCAGCAGCAGCAGCAGCAGCAGCAGCAGCAGCAGCAGCAAGCAGCAGCAGCAGCAGCAGCAGCAGCAGCAGCACAGCAGCAGCAGCAGCAGCACAGCAGCAGCACAGCAGCAGCAGCAGCAGCAGCAGCAGCAGCAGCAGCAGCAGCAGCAGCAGCAGCAGCAGCAGCAGCAGCAGCAGCAGCCACAAGACTGTCATCATCACCTTTACTCACATCTTCAAGCAGAGTATAGCACTTTGTCTGGATTTTTTGGGTTATCCTAGGTAATTTACACTATGTATAGTTGTATTTATGTGTACCTGTGAGACAGAGATAGACAGAGAGAGAGAAAGAGAGACAGATTGAAAGAGATAGAATGAGGGAGAAAGATAATTAGATAGAATGGAGGGGGAAGCAGCATCCGACCCCATTGTTTTGACAGGCGGTAGGGGCAGTGACTAATGAGACAATATGTCATTTTGACAGCTGCCCACTCCTGACTCAAAACAATTATAAGCCACACACTCGCACACAAGACAAGCTTGCTGAAGGGTGATAATAGCAGTTTTATGAAAGTATCTAGTGACTATATATGTGTATATATATTATAGAAACCAGAAGCAAGAAGGGAAGGCAGGAATGAAGGAAGGACTAGACGAAAGGAAGGAAAAAAGTAATGAAGGACAGATGAAGGAATGTAGGAAGAGAGGTGGAATGCCCTCCAGGTAGCCTCCAGGAAGGAAAGGAATGAAGGAAATTAGGAAGGAAGGATGACACACGACCATTTACCTAGGATAGCTACATAACACAACTGCCTGCTAATACTTTGAAGAAAACTGCTCAGACGAGGTGTTTTGTCTTTGCACATAAAAAAAAAATTCAACAAAAATGCACACACACTGATTTTATGTGTGAGAGTGTAAAACACCACTGTGTATGACACCATGTTTTATGTGTGAGAGTGTAAAACACCACTGTGTATGACACCATGTTTTATGTGTGAGAGTGTAAAACACCACTGTGTATGACACCATGTTTTTATGTGTGAGAGTGTAAAAACACCATTGTGTATGACACCATGTTTTATGTGTGAGAGTGTAAAACACCACTGTGTATGACACCCAATGTTTTATGTGTGAGGAGTGTAAAACACCATTGTGTATGACACCATGTTTTATGTGTGAGAGTGTAAAACACCACTGTGTATGACACCATGTTTTATGTGTAAGAGTGTAAAACACCACTGTGTATGACACCATGTTTTATGTGTAAGAGTGTAAAACACCACTGTGTATGACACCATGTTTCACAGAGTTTCCACAAGCTGCAGAAACTCTAAGGAGTATGGTTCAGTGACTGTATATTGGTATATATATTATAGAACAATAGTAATAAAAAATTTTTTGTATTGTTTGTTTTTGTAAACAAGTTTTGTAAACAATATATTGATAATTATGTTTGTGTGCTTATTGTGTTGTATACAACGAGTGTATATATGTACATTGCACCTAACTTTGGTCTCACAGGCCACATAAGTTATGTAAAAAAATAAAATAGTGAAAAAAACAACAAACCTTCAAATACAAGTAAACCAAAGTTTACCGGGTGAGCGGCAGTCGCCGCTGTTGCCATACGCGGCTCATTTTCTGCAAACTTCATGCCTCTATATCTCGGTAAGTACTGATGGGAAAAAAAATTTTTTGGGACTAAAACAATCAGAAAAATAATCTTAACATTTTCATAAGAAAAAATAATTTTTTTTTTTTTCGAATATTTTGCGACACCAGGAGCAACTTCAGGATTGGGCCCTTCGACAGTCAAAGGGTTAAGAAGCGTAGTGGCATACACAGTGTGGTAAGGCATGGTGAGGCTGCCAGTTCTGACAAAAAAGCAGCTGAAAAGTTTGTACAGGAGTTTAAGGAGTACATAGACACTGAAGAATTCAAACCCCAACAAGTGTTCAATTGTCACGAAACAGGCCTCTTCTGGAAGAAAATGCCAAGGAGGACCTACATCACGCAGGAGGAAACGGCACTCCCAGGACACAAGCCTATGAAAGACAGGCTAACTCTCATGTTTTGTAGTAATGCTAGTGGGGATTGCAAAGTGAAGCCTTTACTGGTGTATCACTGAAAATCCCAGAGTGTTCAAGAAAAACAGTGTCACCAAGAGTAATTTGTGTGTGATGTGGAAGGCTAACAGTAAGGCATGGGTCACAAGGGAAATTTTCCTTGACTGGTTTAATGAAGTGTTTGGCCCCAGTGTGAAGAAATACCTTCTGGAAAATAAACTGCCACTCAAGTGCCTTCTGGTAATGGACAATGTTCCTGCTCGTCCTCCAGACTTGGAAGAGCAAATGGTGGAGGAGTTTAGTTTCATCACGGTGAAGTTCTTGCCCCCTAATACAACTCCTCTCCCCCAGCCCATGTACCAGCAGGTCGTTTCAAACTTCAAAAAAACTGTACACCAAAGCAGTGTTTCAAAAGTGCTTTGAAGTGACCTCAGACACTGAACTGACCCTAAGAGAGTTCTGGAAAGATCACTTCAATACCCTCACTTGCATAAACCTTATAAGTAAGGCTTGGGAGGGAGTGACTTGCAGAACTCTGAATTCTGCCTGGAGAAAAATGTGGCCACAATGTGTACAAGAGAGGGATTTTGAAGGGTTTGGGGTTGACCCTAAGGAGCCTATGCCAGATGTGGAAAGTACTGTCTCACCGGGGAATTCCATGGGGTTGGATGCGAGTTTCAAGGATGTGGAAGAGTTGGTGGAGGACCACAATGAAGAGCTAACCATTGCAGAGCTGCAGAGCTGCAAGACCTTCATCTGCAATAGCAAGAGACCACAGCTCAGGAAATTGCTGCAGAGGAGGAGGAAGAGAGATGGAGGAAGGTGCCTTCTTCAAAGATTAAGGACATTTGTGCAAAGTGGACTGAAGTGCAATTATTTATGGATGAACTTCACCCTGACAAAGCTGTTGAAAGCCATGTTGGCAACATGTACAATGACAGTGTTGTGTCGCACTTCAGACAAATCTTAAAGAAATGCCAGAAACAGAGCTCTCTGGACAGATATTTTGTGCTACAGAGGGCCAGTGACTCTCAAGTTGTTCCCAGAGTCGTTAAAAAACAAAGAAGGGAAGTAACCCTGGATAAGTACTTGGTACCTGAAGTCTTTATGGAAGGGGATTCCCCTTCCAAACAATAGTGTACACCTTCCTCCTATCCACTTCTCCCATCTTCCATCCACCCAGAAGTCTTCAGTAAAGGTAAGTGTAATGTTATTATTATTTTATATATGTATGTACTTGATATCTCACTGTTTTCTGTATGTAGATCTTTATTTAATTTGAAAAAAAAAAAAAAAATAATATATTTGGGTGTCTGGAACAGATTAATTTTATTTCCATTATTTCTTATGGGGAAAATGGTTTCGCCATTCAGCAATTTCGTCATTCGGCAGACTCTCTGGAATGGATTATCACAAAACTCGGGGGTCCACTGTATATCTGTATATAAGAAAGAGTAGTGGGCCAAGGACACTATCCTCGGGCACTCCAACAATTACAGGCTAAGTAGTGGAGGTAATGCCATTTGTGTATACATACATGCTCAGATAAGATTTTAGGTAATCAAGGGAATGTCCTCTGACACTGTAATGTTCTAGTTTTAGGTGCAAGAGATTGTGGTCCACTGTATCAAATGCTTTCTGTAGGTCTATGAAGAGCCCCAGAGGATATTAATTTTTTTCAAGGACTATATATAGTAGTTTGAGCATCTGTATAATAGCATCATTCGTATTTTTTTTCAGCATAACCCAAAATGGCAGGAGGTTTAGTATGTTGTGGGATATTAGATAGGAGTAAAGTCATTTGTGTATTATTTTTTTGAAGATTTTAGAAAGAACAAGTTTGATATAGGTCTATAGTTATTGGATTCAGATGGAGCACCTCCTTTGAGGTTTGGGATAACCCTTGCTGTTTTGAGTATGGATGGGATGGTTGAAGATTCAACAGATTTGTTAAACAGTGTTACAATAATGGATGATGGAATATGAGTTGCTTGTTTATACATGAGTGGTGGTAAGTTATTTAGGTCTCCTGTCTTGTTTTTTAATGAATCAATGATGAATGAGACTTCAGTAGAATTTGTCGGGGCTTGATATAGAGTATTTGGGTAATTAACAGGTAATTACTGTACTTTTGTTTATTTGTTTTGTAGTCTTTTGGTCATGTATTTGAGTTTGGGATTTTGTTAGCTAACTTTGATCCTACAGTAGAGAAGAAGACATTAAGTTTGTTGGCCATGTCTATAGGCTGTATGTGAGGTTCATCTGGTGTAGTAAAGTTAATCTCTCTGACCTACATTAACATGATGAACTACACTAACATGATGAACTACACTAACATGATGAACTACACTAATATGAACTCTTTCAAGGGATGGAGTTGAGAGTGTACGCACCCACCTATGTTGCAGGGTGCACACACTCGTACCTTCCTCGTCGGAGCTCACACTTCTCGTAATCTGTTTGCTCGCTGACCCTTGCAGGTTTAAAAACTTTCCCATGACCATCATTACCATGATTGGTTTCAATCATATTAATGTTACCTTTACTCTAAGCTTAACTAAATTAAAAGCTTCTCACCTGAGACTTATTTATCACAGTTGCTTCACTACGGAATACTTTAATCATCCTCTGTAAACGGTCAAGTTTGACAGGATGAGGAACATCATCTATCAGTTTACGGTGAGCTTGTGTCTTTTCACGAATACTGAAAAAAAAGAGAGTCAGGATTAAACACGTGCAATCATAAATACTTCACAATAAAATCATCACAATAAAATCATACAAAATTTAGATAAATTAATTAAGCAATGCACAGAGTGGAAAATAAATGATATATTTTATCATCTATTCTGTACTGATGAGTACTTTGAAGGATTTGCACAGCATGAAGCAGTAATAATAGTAGTACAGTGGAACCTCTACTTGCAAGCGCATCCATGTGCGCATTTTTCCAAATACAGTGGACCCCCGGTTTACGATATTAGCATTTCATTCCAGAAGTATGTTCAGGTGCCAGTACTGACCGAATCTGTTCCCATAAGGAATATTGTGAATTAGATTAGTCCATTTCAGACCCCCAAACATACACATACAAACGCACTTACATAAATACACTTACATAATTAGTCACATTGGGAGCTGATCGTAAACCGGGGGTCCACTGTACTAGCAGACGATGGGTTGATTTTTTGCTTCCATACGCAAGCAAAATTTCCATAAGCAAGCAGACCTCGAGGGAGGTTTCTTGATGCTGGTGAGCGGCTCTTGCTCTTGATCTAGGGAATTGTATCTCATTTGTTTGTTGGACTATCTTATTAAAACTTGGGCAATGTATGATGGAAAGATGCTTCTTAACATACACCAAAAATGAAAGAAATCGGAGCATAAATAATGAAGTTTACTTCTCAGCAATTAGCCACCCCTTAGTGGTATTTTCATGTGTTTTTATGGTTGTATTCTCGTGTTTTTGGTCTCATTTGATAGAATGGGAGATATATTACAAAAATAGATATGATTTTGATTGCTTTCACGACAAAAAGTACCTTGAAATTGAGCTCATCGAGGGAGAAATGTTCGTTTGCTTGACTACGTTCAAGAGTAAACAAATGACATCAGCTTTTGACATAGTAGACCATGGCATCCTACTCCACAAACTTGACCATTATGGTATAAGAGGCCATGTGTTTGCATATTTTAAATCCTACCTTACTAATAGGTATCAGTATGTCACCATTAAAGACACAGCATCATCAACATGGCCACTTGATACTGGAGTTCCACAGGGATGTGTCCTTGGACCCCTGCTCTTCCTCATTTATATCAATGATCTTCCAAACGTATCCCAAAACCTGAAACCCATTCTCTTTGCTGACGACATGACTTATGACATCTCTCACCCTAATCTTGCCACCCTCAACACGACTCAAGAAATCGTAATGACACGATTGCAAATAAACCATACCCCCGGCCGGGATTGAACCCGCGGTCATAGAGTCTCAAAACTCCAGCCAGTCGCGTTAGCCACTAGACCAGCTAGCCACAATAAGATTCATGAATCTTATTGTGGCTAGCTGGTCTAGTGGCTAACGCGACGGGCTGGAGTTTTGAGACTCTATGACCGCGGGTTCAATCCCAGCCGGGGGTATGGTTTACCCTCAACACCATTGTTAATGAGAAGCTGCTCAAAATATCAACTTGGATGACAGCCAATAAACTTAAACTTAACAATGACAAAACCTACTATATTATGTTTGGTAGCAGAGCAGGTGCTGCAAAACTAAACATTAAGATTGACAGCACTCTAATTGCCAGACATAATGAGGGCAAATTCCTAGGCCTATACCTTGAGAACAACCTGAATTTCAGCACCCATATCCAATACATATAAAAAAAAGTATCTAAAACAGTTGGGATCCTCTCCAAGATACGATACTACGTGCCGCAAAATGCCCTTCTCACACTATACCATTCACTCATTTATCCATACCTCACCTATGCTATTTGTGCTTGGGGATCAACTGCAGCAAAACACCTAAAGCCAATAATAACCAAACAAAAAGCCACAGTAAGAATAATCACTAAATCCCATCCCTGGCACCCCCCCCCCCCCCCCACTCTTCATAGATCTAAACTTACTCCCTGTTCAGAACATCCACACTTACTACTGTGCAATCTACATATACAGGACCTTAAATTCCAATATTAACTTTGACCTAAAGCACTTTCTTGATAGTTGTGACAGGACCCACAAGCATAACACCAGACACAAACATCTCTACGACATTCCCCGTGTCTGACTAAATCTATACAAAAATTCAATGTATTCAAATTCAAATTCAAAGTTTATTCTCTATAAAGATTACAATGTTGAATTTACAGAATTTGGTTGTTGTGTGGTTTACATGTAGTTAAATAATGATTACAGAGTGTACCACTAGAACGCCTAGCATGGCTAGGCATTTCGGGCAGACTTAGTTTAATTCTTTATTTTAAAATATTACAAATTATGAGGTAAGTTGGTATTATGGCTAAGTGACTAAATACTAGTTTGTGAGTTTAGCAATGTGAATGCTTTTGTTTTGGCACAGTACATAGTTTCAGTATTGGAGTATCATAGGATTCATTATTTTATGTCAAAGGCCCTGAAAACTCTAGAACTGCAGACACATTCATCACCTTCAAAACTACCGTTAGAAAACATCTTATCTCCCTGATACACCCCATCAACTAACTACATAAAAATCACCTTGTGGTTCACACTTACACACACTCACTCACCCATTTGACTATAAGCATAGAAATACGTATCTTAATCTTAAAATAATGATTCCTAACTAGTCACAAGTTTGCCTGTGATACTCCAATATAGAAACTATGTATTGTGCCAAAACAAAATCATTCACAAACTAGTATTTAGTCACTTAGTACTTAGTCACTTAGTATTTAGTCAACTTACTCCACAATTTTTAATAATTTAGAGTTAAGAATTAATCTAAGTTTGCCCAAAATGCCTAGCGTTGCTAGGTGTTCTAGTGACCCCCTCTGCAATTAGTATTTTATTACATGTAAACCACACAATAACCAAAATCTGTAAACCCCGCATTGTAATCCTTATAGAGAATAAACTTTGATTTGATTTGATTTGATTTGAATATGCAGTCGTGAATAGGTTGACATTATTTATACAATTATTGCAACAAGACATAACAGTAAATCTTATATTTTTTGTGTGAATAAAAATTATAAATTATTTATATTGTAATAATAATAATAATAATATTAATACTAATAATATGTATAATAATATGTACAATAATAATAGTATAATAATACAATAATACAGGTCCGCCATCACAAATCCAGCAATCAGTTATTCGGTTCCTTCAGTTATTCGGCACTAATTTTGGCTAGCATAATTTCAAATTTCCAGGGTCGCCACACCAACCTGCTGGTACTTGCTGCATAAGTCATTCCAATTTCTTTTTCTCCATTTATTGTTTTAACCTGCTTACTTTTAGCCCTAGCCATGGTTCCAATGAATAAAAGAAATGCTTCTCATTATGTAAAGCACCTACACAGTACATTATCCATTAAAGATAATGGTGGCTTTGAAGCCACTGTTGGTTGTCATGAACTCAGTCTCATGAAGCAGGAGAATATGCTTTATTATTACGCTAATATCAGCACTACAGCTTATTTGCCTATCACAATTGATCTAATGTGACATAATAAACAATATAAATAACATAAAACATGTTAAATACTCCAGAATGAATAATATTTGGCATAATACCGAGCAGTTCGACAGAGTTACAAAGAGGATATGGTAAACAAATACCATTCTCCTATCCTTGTCTTGGGGGCTTATATTAGAGAAAACGGAGTATAGCACAGGGCTAACTATGATATACACTCGTACTCCACCATAAACATGAAACAAAAAAGTTATTTTCTCTCTATAGATTATTACACATAGTAGCATATGTGTAGAGAACCTAGGATAACCCAAAAAGTCAGACAACGTGGCTTATTTTTGGTACCTGGCTTGGGTTAGCCATATAGGATTTTTGGTAAATATTCGATTCCCAGCCAGGGTAGAAACATTAGGCATGTTTCTTTACACCTGTTGTCTATGTTTACCCATCAGTAAATGGGTAACTTGGTGTTAGTCGACTAGTGTGGGTGTTATCCTGGGACACTGACCTAATTTTCTTGAACTACTCAGCATAACAAGTGCCTTTCTATACAGTAGTATGTCACTGATGTCAGCTAGGCCTGTATACCTTGTACATGTACATGTAGTAAATAAAGATATTATTATTATTATTATTATTATTATTATGATTATTATTATATTATTATTATTATTTTCTCAGTTGTTTGTTGGGTTATCTTATTCAAACTTGGGCAATGTATGATGGAAAGATACTTCTTAACGTACACCAAAAATGAAAGAAATCAGACCATAAATAGCGGAGTTCACTTCTCAGCCATTAGCGGCCACTTAGCGGTATATTTTTGTATCGTTGTTATGGTTATATTCTCATTTTTTTGGTCTCATTTGATAGAATGAAAGATATACAGTGGACCCCAGCTTAACGATCACCTCCCAATGCGACCAATTATGTAAGTGTATTTTTGCAAGTGTGTTTGTACGTGTATGTTTGGGGGTCTGAAATGGACAAATCTACTTCACAATATTCCTTATGGGAACAAATTCGGTCAGTACTGGCACCTGAACATACTTCTGGAATGAAAAAATATCGTTAACTGGGGGTCCACTGTATTACAGAAATAGATATGATTTTGATTGCTTTCATGATGAAAAGTACCTTGAAATTGCACTCACAGTAGCGAAAATGTTCTATTCTTTAGCGAAGCTCAAGAGTAAACAAATGACGTCACCGTCCAATACCTGTCTGCCTGCCAGTCTAAATTCCAATACGGAGTCAAGAATGGATTGATATTATTTATACAATTATTACAATAATGCAGTATAGTCTGCATAACAGTAAATCATCTTTTTTTTTTTTGTGAATAAAAATTCCAAATGGCATGCAAGAGTAATATAAGTGGCATGCAGCCATGACTAATAATCAGAGAAAATGTTATTTTAGTGCCAGGAATGTCTGCATTGTTTATTCTGGACCCTATTTTGAAATTGGCATCTGTTGAAATTTGTGTGAAATCAGCCAAATTGCCAATTTCTGACCACTTTATTGGGTAGTTGAAATAAGTGAATGGGTGGTTTCTTGTACTCAGTTGACAGACAAGAAGTAAATAAGTTTATTCAGGTTATACACAAACACAGTTACACAGATTATCATACAACAGTGTATGTAAAGGAGCAACCTAGGATAACCCAGAAAAGTGACTTATTTCCAGTACCTAGCATGCCTTGCCAATATATTTTTTGGTAAATATATTTATTTTCTCAGTTTGCGTTTGTTGGGCATACTCATTGACCTTGGGCAATGTATGCAGGAACAGATGCTTTCTTAACGTACACAAAAATAAAAAAGACGGACGATAAAAAAGGGAGCTTCTTTCCAGCCATTAGCCGCCTCTTTGAGCAGTATATTTTCGTATGCTTTTTATGGTTGTGAGTTTACATTTTTTTGGACACATTTGATAGAATTGAAGACATATTAGCAGAAATAGAGACAATGATTTGAATGCTTTCATGATAAAAGAACCTTGAAATTGAGTCTAACAAATAGCGAAATGTTCGATTTTTTGCCGATGTTCAATGAACTGTGTAAGTCAAGTGGTTAATTTTAATAACCCTTTGAGGGTCACAGGCACTCTCCGAAACTCGATCTCAGGTCGGCCAAATTTAAAAAAAAAACAAATTATTTTTTCTCTTATCAAAAGATAGAGAATCTTTTCCGATCATAAAGACACCAAAAGTTTTTGAAATTTTGATAGAAAACTTACGAAATTATGCTCTCGCAAAGATTAGCGGTCTCGGCGATGTTCGCATCGGCGATTTTGCCCACTTTAGGCCCATTTTCGCCAATTTGCCTGTACTAGTCGACCAAAAAACATATATATTTTCGCTAAAACTCATTTTTTCTATCGAAAGGGTGTGCAAAAACCACCCATTTATGAAATTCAACTAACCAATACAGTGGTCAGAATTTAGCAATTTTGCCAATTCCACACAAATTTCAAAAGATACCAATTTCCCGAATAGGGTCCAGAATAAACACAAAGACATCCTGCGCACTAAAATGACATTTCCTCTAGTCATTAGTCCACGTCTCCAAGGCCTCTCCTATATTCTTTTTGCTTTCCCATTTTGAATTTTTTATTTCTCACAAAAAATATAAGATTTACTGTTATGCAGACTACGTACATTAGTGTAAAAAATGGAATGAAATATTACTTGGAGCACTTGTGAAAGAATATTAGACTCACCCAGTTTGACCGTGTATGCACGCTTGGCACCTTT